TGTTGCCATCATTTCCAAAATATTTTCTACTTGAGGTCCCCTTTTTCCCCCTCCCACCCTCATGAATCCTTGATAATTTATAAATTATTTTTATTTTCATATTTTACACTGGCCGCTGTCTCCCTTCACCCACGTTCCTGTTGTCCATTGAGAATACTTTCAACAGTTTCCACATGTGCAATTTAAATTGATGACATTCTTTGAGTTCTGCAGCTATTCTCATTCTCATTCTGAGTTCCTCCTTTTTAACATCCGTGCAGGTTCACTGAGGTTTCCATCTACTGAATTTTAATGCAAATAACATGCATGTTAAATGGGGTTTTTTTCATACTCACAATCCCTTGAGCTTTAGATTCCTATTTCTACTATGTGCATTATATGCGAACGTATACTTGTTCTTTAAATTGCTGTTGTCAATTTGATCCCAAGTAGATGGTTCTTTAAAGAATTCAAATCAACCCTCTTTTACTGTCTAAGATAAACTATTGTTCACTTCCCAGAAGACATCAGGTAATATTTTTGGCTTAAGGTTTAAAGATTTTCTCAGCGTAATAGTTTTAGGGGTTCATCCTTGTCCTCCCTGGTCCCAGAAAGTCTAGGGCAATGGGAATTTGTGCTTCTGTTTTGCATTGTACCCCATTTAGTCAAGATTCTTTTGTGGAATCTTTCACCAAAATGTTCAGCAGTGGTTTCCAGCCACCATCCAGCTCTTTTGGTCCTATGGTAAAGGAGCAACGGGGGAATTTGTTTATGAAGGCAATTAGGCACACATTCCGTCTGTATCTTCCTCCTGTTCATGATGCTTTTCTCTCTTCCACGTGGATAAAGCCCAGTTGGTGTCCCTTGGATGGCCGGCAGTGCAAGCTTTTAAGACCCAGAAAACTAGGTAATAATCTAGGAGATAGAATAAAAGCCCTAAATGTTATTAGGCTAAGTCTTGTAGTAGCATAGTGATTACCATTGGGCTACTAACTGTAAAGTCAGCAGTTCGAAACTATCAGTGACTCCCTGGGAGAAAGACAAGGCTTTCTACTACTTTAAAGAGTTACAGTCTGGGAAACTCACAGGGGAAATTCTACCCAGTCCTACAGGGTCACTATGAGTCAACCTCAATTCCATGGCAGTGAGTAATTGAGTGAAGACCCGTAGTGATGTAGTAGCTTATGTGTTGGGCTACCGGCCCTAAAGTTAGTCAAATCTACCAACTGCTTTATGGGCGAAAGATAAGGCTTTCTGCTCCCATCTAGCTTATACAGCTTCCAAAGTCCATAGTGGCAGTCTACCCTACCCTATAGTATTGACTGCACCGACTCATTCGTCAGGATTAAGGATTAAAGAAATAAAAGGAGAATTTGTAACTGAGACTACTGTGGTTCTCAAAACCTAAACCATTTACCATTGGGCCCTTTACAGAGCAAGTGTGTTGACCTCTCCCCTGAGCAGTTGTTTGTTCTCATGTGGAGGCATGCGCTAGAGGTTCCAATAGCAGATATTTAGCTAGAGGTCAAGGCTTGACCATTCCCACCTCTGAGGAGCTCATAAAAAATGGTGCTTCTGACTGTTTGCTTTTTAGAGCAGTGGTGGTGGCAGCAGCAGCCCCTAAGCACATGTTAGAAATAAAATTTCCCAGGCCTCAACACAGACCTGTGAAGTTAGAACCTAGGGAGTGGGACACAGCTATCTAGTCTAACAAGCTGCAAAGGTGATTTTGATGCACACTAAGCTCTGAGAACCTAGCTGTGGAGAAGCATTTGCACCTGTGTGTTATCATACACATTCAAGAGTGTAATGCATTGTGCAGAATAGCTGCAACTGGAGACAGCTGAACTGTCAGTCAACAATAGAGAAAACAGATAAAATTGTGCTTGAATTCCAACTACATGTGTTTGTATTCCAGGCCCACCAAATACTAGCTATGTGACCTTGGGTAAATTACTTGGCCTCTCCATCCCTCACATCCCTGGTTAGGGCTTTCTACTCCTATAAGGAGTTATAGCCCCGGGAATTCACAGGGGCAGGTTCCACCTTGTCCTGTAGGGTAGCTGTGAACCGTCATCTACGTCATCTACTTAGTGACTCATATATAAAAGCATAACAATCATTAACTCACAGCGCTATTGAAGGTTTAAACAGTTACAGTTATTGGAACAATATCTGGTACAAACATACTTGAAAGAAACTATGTATGTAGTATGGTTAGGCAGTGGGGCTGTTAACCACAAGTTCAGCAGTTTGAAACTTCTTGCTGCTGAGGGAGAACAAAGTGCCTCTCTCCTCTTCTAAAAAGTTAACATTCTCAGAAATCCACAAGAGCAGTTCTAAACTGCCCTATAAGGTGGGTATGAGTTGGAATGGATTCAATGCCACTGAGTTTGGTTGGTTTTGGGTAACATATTATGTTGCTTTAAGGAAAAACATGCCATGGTTCATTTCTTAAAAGGTATGGTCTGCCCATGTATGCTACATAAAACAAAATGATCAAGCAATCTGAGGCAGAGACAGTTAAGCTTTGGAAGGTCCAAATATGGGCACTGCCTCTCTAAATCCGTTATCAGATGTGTCAAATGCCTCCAGGATTGTGAAGAAAATCAAGGACATTTCTGTGCTTGAATCACGATTGGTATACGCTAAGCACTTAAAGAAGCGTGCTCCTTCCTTCCTTGACTGTCCTCCCCTCCCCCCACTCCCAATTTTCTCAGCATTTGCTTTTTAAAATTCCTTTATCTTGATATTCTGCAAGAAATATTGCCAGCCTTAAGGTAGCTTCCTGGATTTGAAGATTTGGCTTTCTCTGTGAATCAAGGTCAATTACAAGCTGAGAGTTAGCATCCACTCTTCTACAGCTATGCCTCAGGGGCAAGCCTGAGACTATATCTGGGGCAGGGCAGTCAAGCTATTATCTCCCAGGATTTCAACCTTTTAGCCTTGCGTGTAAATGTATGTTTAAGAGGGCCTTGGCTATATTGTTGCTTTGAAATGTTAGCCTATGACTTGTTCCACTTAAAGACTCCCTGTAGTAGGCTGGGTTAGTAAATAGCAAGAGTGAGTCTAGGATGCAAACAGCCGAAGCTACTTGCGTTTTATGCTCATTTAGGTTAGCAGGCGAAATTTAAAATTCCCTCCCTCTTAACATTAATAATCAAAAGAGGGCAGGGCGATCAGTGTCCAAAACGCAGTACTGAGCGGTAGCAAACGAGCTCTAGGTGGGGAGCGATATCGAAGGAGGGAGCGAGGCTGAAGCCAAGCAGCCTCCTTGTGACGTCAAATCAGCGGACTCTCGCCACGGCGTTAGGCCGGTTCCGGTTCCCCGGCTTTCCGGGCACGAGTGTACGCGACCGCGGCGGCGTTCTGCGCGTGCTCCGCAGAGGGCCGCGAGGAGGTTGGGTCGGCTCGCGAAGGAGACGCCGGATTGGCTGACGCCGTGCTGGGGGGTTCCCCGGCCCTTTCGGCAGGGGTAAAACAATAAGAGGGGGCGGTGGCAGAGGGGGCGGGACGTCCGTGTTGCTCGTCGTTCGCCGCAGATCCTGGCGCCCGGGAAGAAGTGGTAGTGAAGGGAACGCGCTCTCGGCGGTTCGGTGCCGGAGGCTTTAGCGGAAGGAGGGAGCGGGGAGAAGAAAGAATCTTCTGCAGCCGCGTCCTGCCACTGTCCAGCTGACCTCCGCGCGACGTCCCCGCCGCTGCTGTTGGTTGGAGGTGTGTACGGGGGCCGGTAGGGGCGGTCGGTGTGGTGGTCGGAAGGGGACATTCCCTGCGCGCGCCGCGGCTGGAGGCTACCGTCCTGTGCGCGACCCCCTTGTCGGAGGTGGAGTGGCAGGGAGGGACATTGTTCTCGGAGGCTGCCCACGCTGCGGCGTGTGCGTGAGGGAGACGAGGCTTTTCTCTCAGGTGAGGGGTGGGGAGCCGCGTGGGCAGGATGGTGACCAGCGCGCGTTGTGCCGACCGAGGGCTCAAAGGGCACAGGTGGGGCCGGGGCTGGCGGAGGCATGGGACTGGGGAGGGGGACGCCGCAGCTCCCCAAGGGACGCCGATGGTGATGCTTGAGTACCGGAGGGAGAGTGGGGCTTCCTGGAGAGGATGTTTCAGGCAGGAGCCAGAACCCGTGTTGTCTCCGGTTCATTTGCGGCGCTGCATGCCCGGTTCCTTCGGAGCTGGGAGCCCGGCGCCGCCCCGCCCGTGGGGGAGGGGGAAAGTGGCTGTGTCGGCGAAGGCAGAAGCGACGCAGATGCGAAAGTACCGGCCTCCGGGCACCATTTCTGTGGACGGAAACAAAATCCGGGTTTGAAGACAGCTGCCGCTTTTGATTACCCAATACCTAGTGTTCCGTTATCTCTGACCCCCCTCGGGTAACGCACTGCCTCGTCGTGCCCTTTTTATGCACGGATCCCTGGCTGGCCCCCGAATGGGATGATGCTCCGGTGCTTTGGAGAAGGGGCTTCTCGCTTTCCCACCACTATTAAGCGAGGGAGGCGAGAGAAAATACAAGCCTCCGAGGAGGTGTTCGTTTTGTTTGTTGTATCTTGTAACAGCCAGTTTCTTAAGATGGCCCTCTGCCACTTTGGAGGGAGTATAGATTTCTCTCTACCTACGCCCCCCCGCCCCCACGAGAATCAAACGTTTTTCGGCTAAAGGGTACCAGATTTCCTTGTTTTGAGGGGCGTACCTTATCCCACTCCCCCGCCTTTTTTTTTTTTAAAGCACGTGCACTGTTGGAGTAATAGAGCAGAGCTAGCAGACCCCATCCTCTTCTCTCCCCGTGATTGTTGTGATGATGACTTGGGAATGAAAAACTGGTTTTTAGGTTCAAGGAAGATTACATCTTAGACGAATCTTCCAAACGTTAGCCTTGAACCTAACTCGATATTAATCATTAACAGCAGTTTAGGTAGCCTATCTGCTTGAGTGAAAGAAACTGGGAATTCCTTGCCCAGCACCATATTTGGCAATTAACATAGCCTTAGGCGAGTGAGCAAAGTTTCCAAGTAAACATTTGCCGTTTGTATCGTAGTATCCATTGGTTCCTTTAATGCGCAGATTCTTAGCGCGCTCTCCCCTTTCTAGCTAACCCCCCCTTTAAGGTATGAACAATTGGAACTCTCAGTAACTGACCTAGGTTATTAATTTGGTGATAATGTGTAGAGTTGGTCGTGTGCATTTTTGTGTTACATGGGCTGGTTGGTTCTGAAAGCACTGCTTTCTGGCTAAGAGCTGTTATGCTTCAGGTTCTTGAATATTAAGGGTGGAAATCATAGTAAGCCCAGATCAAGAATGGGATGCATTAGGATCAGAGGAAGCCCTTGACTACTGGTGAGCAGCAGGACTGTCAGTGGGCAACTCCTGGTTTGAATAAAAATGTGGCATTGTTGGTAGAAATATTCATTATCCTGTTAACTTATGAGAGATGAAAAAGGAAAACATTGTCAGTTATTTTAAAATCTGTTACTAGTGCGTTTAGTTTATTAAACTAATCCTGACAGTTATTGCTGTTTATTACCATTTATCAATTACGAAAGTGCTTTCTGCTTTACTTTTTTTTCTTTTTAAATCATTTTATTGGGGACGGTACCAATCCATACATGCATCCATTGTGCCAAGCACATGTGCACATGTGTTGTCATTTCATCATTTTCAAAACATTTTCTTTCTTCTTGAGCTTCGTATCAGCTCATTCCCCTCACCTACCTCCCTCATGAACTTGTGGCAATTTATGATTTTTTTCCCCCCATGTCTTAACCTGACTGATGTCTCCCTTCACCCATTTTTCTGTTGCCACCCTGGGAGGGGGTTATATGTAGATTATTGTGATTGGTTTCTGCTTTACTTTAAAAAAAAACTTTCCCCCACACTTTATGCTGAGTGTATATGAGAATGGTGAATCTCGCCCTTTCAGGTCTTGATTTGTTAAGCACAAACTTGAGTTGTCTTTGCACTTTAGAGTTTAATTGATAATGACCAAAGTTGTTCTCTACTGGTAGACACATGGCTCATAGTAATAGAATAATTTAGTTCTTCTCTTGGGACCCCTTGCCTGATGCTAGAAGCAATAGACTCCATCTTGACAGCTGGGTTTGTCCTTTTTAGATATTTACCCAATATTGATACCTTAGGAGAGAGAGCTTTGGAGTGACTTGTTTTTTTATGATGCTTTTATCTTACCGTATATTCTCTAGGCTTTAGCTCTTCCCAAGGATTTCTCAGATAAGCTAGCAGTTGAATTTTTGAGAAAAAGTCATGTGTCATTGTTTGCTTTTCCAAAGGGGTCATTACTTAACCTGGTGTATGACAATATCACCAAAGGCAGGAGACCTGGTGTCAAATCTAACTATAAGTGAGGACCCTGAACTCCTTTCCTTAGTCTCTTTAAACTTCAGTTTCTTGTTTTGTGAGTGACGCTAGTAAGCTTTTTAAGGAAATAAAATTAGTAAAAATACTATAAGTACATAATGCTATTTGTAGGGCAGTGATTCCATTTTTCATTGTATTTCGGCCATCAAGTGAGTTCCGACTCATAGCAACTCTGTACAACAGAAGGAAGCACTACTTGTTCCTGTGCCATGCTCACAATTGTTTTCATGTTTGAGCTCATTGTTGCAGCCATTGTGTTACTCCCTCTTGTCAAGAGCTTCCCTTCTTTTTCGCTACTCCTCCACATTAATAAGCCTGTTGTCCTTCTCTAGGTACTGGCCATTCCCGATAACATGTCCAAAGTATAGGAAATAAAACAAATTGAAGTCTCACCATCCTTTCATTTGAGGAGCATTCTGACTGTCCTTCTTCAAAGACAGATTTGTTTGTTCTTTTGTTAGTCCATGTTGCTTAATAAATTCTTCACCAGCACCATAGTTCAAATACATCCATTCTTTGGTCTTCCTTATTCAATGTTCAACTTCCACATGCATAGGAGGAGGCAATTTGAAAATACTAAAGCTTGGATCAGGCGTACCATAGTCCTCAAAGTATCAGTCTAGCTTTTTTTTTTTTCCCCTTGTTTTTTTAAACATTTTATTAGGGGCTCATACAACTGTTATCCCAATCCATACACACAATCAGTTGTGTAAAGCGCATTTGTACATCGTTTCTCAAAACATTTTTTCTCCATTTAAACCCCCGACATTAAGTCCTCATTTTCCCCCTCCTTCCCCGCTCCCCCCTCCCGCATGAGCCCTTGATAGTTTATAAATGGGTATTTTGTCATATCTTGCCCTGTGCGATGTCTCCCTTCACCCACTTTTCGGTTGTCTGTCCCCCAGGGAGGAGGTCACACACAGTTCCATGTAATCGGTTCCCTCTTTCCTGCCCATTCTCCCTTTACCCTCCCTGTTTTGCCACTCACACCACTGGTCCTATAGGGCTCATCCGTCCTGGATTCCCTGTATTTTCAGTTCCTATCTGTACCAGTGTACCTCCTCTGGTCTAGCCAGTCTTGCAAGATCGAATTCGAGTCATGGTAGTGGGAGCGGGGAGGAAACCTTTAGGAACTAGAGGAAAGTTGTATTTCTCATCATTGTTACATCGCACCCTGACTGGCTCATCTCCTCCCCGAGACCGCTCTGCAAGGGGATCTCGTCAGCCTAGCTTTTTAATCCTGTCAACAGTTCTTGTGCCCTGTGCCCCAGATTTACCTGTTTGGTCTTTTGACTGCTGCTTTCATGAGCATTAAGGATTCAAGCAAGATGAAGTCCTTGAAATCTTATTTATCATGATGTTACCTATTGGTGCAGTTGTGAGGATTTTGGTATTAATCCCTAGCCTTTTATTTATTTTGCCATTTCATATCAAATTTATTCATGTATACAATATAAATCTTTAAAAGTCTAAATTGTACTAAGAATACTCATAATTTCATTAATGAGTATTAATGAAATACTCATTGAATATGTGAAGGATATTTCAATAAGGCTTTTTTGTTTTACGAACTACTTAGTGGGGGAGGGGAGAATTGAGCTGATACCAAGGACTCAAGTAGAAAGAAAATATTTTGAAAATGATGATGGCAACAAATGTACAAATGTGCTTGATACAATGGATGGATGTATGGATTGGGATAAGAGTTGTATGAGCTCCTAATGAAATGATTTTAAAAAATACTTAGTGGATCCTGATTAGCATACACATGCAGTTTTATATATATTCACATACTGGGAGATAATGATGAGGCTGGAAGACCCCTTAGGCGAGGATAGTGAGACTTAGTATATACTTTGCAGGTGCCATCAAGAGACCAGTCCTGGTTGAGAAGATATCATGGTTGGTCAAGTAGAAGACGGCCAATAAAAAAGAGGAAGTCCTGTTTCCCCAAGTTGATTTATGAGGGGGGTACCCCCAAACCCTGGAATTTTCCAAAGCTATGTGTTTAAATTTACAAAACAACTTTATCACCTTCAAAGTACTCTCTGTTACATTTAATACATTTGTCAAATCTGCAATTCCGTTCTTGGAAACATTTTTCAAACTCATCCATTTGGATGACTGACAATACCTCCTTGTTTTTTTCTTCTCTTCTATGTCATCAAATTGCTGTCCTTTCATGTCCCTCTGCATTCGCAGAAAAAAAAAAGTCACATGGAGCGAGGTCAGGGAAGAATAAGGTGCTTAGCACAAGGGTTATGCTGTTTTTTAACCAAAACTGGTGCACTGAGATGGCTGCATGAGCAGGTGCATTGTTGTGGCAAAACCAGTGCCCTCTCTGCCACAAA